ATCATGATCTAATATGTGGTGCCTTGTTTTAATCTGAATTTCTGTTTATGAGTATATTTGGACATACTTTTGCATAGGATGTCCCCACACGTGTCGTTTCTATTTTGGCAGTTGTCCTTTGACTTTCAATTGGGTTATTGAGAGTTTGCTTTTGATTTACTGTAATTAAAATTTTGGGGGGCTGTGTCTGTGGATCAGCAGTAGAACACCTCTTGCTTAGCATGGCAGGAGCAGTGTGTTAGAGCCCTGCACTGTGGGATGAAATGTCAGAGACAACCAATTCACCAGCAAACCCTAGCACCTTTATCTGGGGGGGGGGCGCTGCAATAATATTTTACCAGTTTGCATTCTTAACTTGCAGATTAAAATTAATATATTAAATCCAATCTTTTGACTTTGTTCTTTTGATTATTGTAGGTCTTTCTCAGATACCTTTCCTATTTTTTTATTATACATTTGCCCCACATTTTGTTCTTTTTATTTGATCTTCTCTCTTTTCCTTCTTTTCTTCCTTCTCCCTGTCTGATCCACTGACATTTTACTGTAGTAAAAATATAAGGTAGGTAGCTCTGTTGGTATTTTCTCTTATCTCTAAATTTCCAAGTAGTATGTGGCAAGGAGTCCATGAATCCACATTTTCTACATTGGTTGAAACACCTTCTTTGGGACTGGGGAGGAGTGGTTAAGTGCATTTACTGCTCTTGTGGAAGGGTTTGGATCACAGCATTCTGGCTGGTGACTTAAAATCCCCCAGCTCTAGGGGACTCAGAGTCCTCTTGTTTTAAGGGCCCCTGAGCCCAGAGTGATACATAGGAACTGACATGCACACATATAAGTTAAAAATAATCTCTAGAAACAAAAGACATGTTTCTTGCATATTAATTCATCAGTGCTTATATATTTATGACTTTTTTATTCTTTAAATTTTATTTATTTATTTTAACGTGAGTGTATTGTCTGCCAGTATGTCTTTATACCAGGCACCATATCCATCATGGTAAAAAGCATAGGGACTTATTTTGAGAGGCCGGAGAGGGTGCCTAATCTCCTGGAACCAGAGTTAAGGATGTGAGCTACCATGCAGGAGCTGGAAATTAATCCAGTCCTCTGCAATTATAGCCTCTAAATCACAAAACCATCTTTCTAGACCCAAGTATTTACTCTTTCAGTGGTTGGAAATGGGCATGACTTTTTGAATCTTTTGCTGCAGGCACCTGTCACTTCTTGTACCTCACCACACTTTCACTTACTACAGATGTATCATATACTTTACTGTCTGAGGAGGTCACCTAACTTTCTTAGTTATTTTCCAGGAAATCCTTTGGCTTTAGTCTTTGCTGAGTTTTCCATGAACTTTAGAATGCACTTGTCTAATCCTAAAGATAATTCTCTGGTGATATTTTTTTAATGGGCATTGCTTTCCACTTACTCATATATACTGTGCATTATCATATGTTAATTATTTTTCTGTCTGGGGATGTCATTCTTTGTGGTGCTTGGGATTGGATTCAGAGTCACATAATTGCTAGGCAAGTGTTCCATAACTGAGCTGTGTCCTCATGAAATCTGGTATGTTCCTAGGAACATGTACATGTCTCTTCATGTAGACCTTGCATGCTACTTCCTTCCCAGTGTTTCTGCCTGTTATAATTAAAATTATGTATTCTGCCATTTAGTTGTATGTATGTGTGTTTAAAGTCTTGAATTCTGTAAATTACTTTCTTCTCAGCCACTTTACCAAATTTTTACTTTAATTCTAGGTTAGATCTCTTTATGTTGTTTTTAAGTCATCATTTCATCTGCCCCAAACTTAATTTACCTTTTCTTTGTAATTTTAGAATACCATAGGTTTCTTCTAATTGTGTTGCCATCTCTAGAAGAATATGCTTGAGAGTAAATGTCCTATTGCACTTGACTTCAATGAAAACGTTATTGATTGGGATGGTGGCTTTGGTATCATGTAGTGTCATGGTAAAAAGCATGCATACTTACTTTGAGAGTTTTACTTTAAATTGAAACTGTTGTTGAATGCCTATCTGAATCATTTTTAGATTTTTCCATTTAAAAATGGAAACCTTACATTTTAAGAAAATGGCTATTTTTTCATTCTGTACATTTGCTGTGATATATAAATAAAATTTCAAATATGACATGTTCATATTTGGTCAGAAAGTGTGTGTGTGTGTGTGTGTGTGTGTGTGTGTGTGTGTGTAGCTAGACTCAGGGAGATAGTAATTTTTAAGTGTTTTTATGTTAATTTTTCTGTTATTTAGAAGTTCTTCTGCATATGGTATGTATTATTAGCTTTTCCACGTTTTGACATTAGTGTTGTGCTTAAAATAGTATAAACTAATAAAGGTTCCTCCCTTGTTTTTAAAACTAATTTAAAGAGCATCTATACAACATATTCCTCAAAAATATTATAGAATTTCCCCCTGAAACTACCTTGACTTGGGGCATTATTGGGCGTGTGTGTGTGTGTGTGTGTGTGTGTGTGTGTGTGTGTTTGTGTGTGTGTGTGTGTTTATTCTCTTTAAACTTTTATTATCTCTTTAATGATAAATGGACTTGTGTATGTATATTTTCTGTGGCCCTTTTGTTAGATGTTAAGAAACAAATCTATTTCAAATTTATTTATGTAGACTTTAATTACCTGAGGCTGATTTTTGCTTCCTCAGTAGTTATATCAAACAATGTGTAGTTTATGACATTTTGTTGTATTTATCTATTCTCCCTTTTGTTTGATATAGCCAAAGTTAATTCTTTACTTACAAAATCAACTTCCGCCTTTCCCTTTTCATACTTCCACCTTTTTATTGACTTAGATGTATATTTCCTTTTTAAATTTTAGTATTTTGCTTGGGTTTATTTTGGACTTTTTTCTTATTGTTTGATTTTCCTTTGTTTGTGTGTGTTGCACTGTGTGTGTGTGAACTTGTTAGTGTAGTGTACGAATCTGGAGGGTAGAGATGTGTGTCGGGGATTTTTCCTTGGTAAAGTACTGCCTTACTTTTTGAGGCAAGCTCTTGTACTAGAGTCTCCTATCCACTCCTTTGATGAGACTGGCTGGCCAATGAACTTCAAGGACCTGCCTGCCTCAGTCCTTAAGCCCAGCCCTCACCCATTGCTGTGGTTATGAGGGCACTGTGTCATAGTTAGAATCTGGGGATCTGACGTTAGGTCCTCATGATTGACACTTTTCCAATTGAACAACCTCTCTAGTCCTATTTCTGGTTTTAAATTAATAATAATGTACTATATAATTCCCTCTAAGATCTTCTTAGAGGTTAAAAATGCACCAAGTATTGTTTGGTATATTGTGTTTTCCATCGTATTACTTAGCTGTGGACAGTTGAGTTGTATACAGATTCCATGAGAGACAGTACAGGTACCTGTCTATTTGACTTACACCCTCTACAGTGTTTCTCTTGTAGTTCATATACCTTCATGTATTTAAGTGCCAAAATATTTTAGGAGTTTTTTAGGCTAGTGAGATGGCTCACTGGGCGAATACTCTTGCTGCACAATCCTTGCAACCCAAGTTCGGTTCACAGAACCTACAGAAAGTTGGAAGGAGAGAACTCACTACACAGAGTTGTCCTCTGACTACCACATGTGGGCCATGGCAGAAGTGTACACCCGAAGTGCATACACAGAAGCAAATAACAAATTAAAAACTTAAAATGATACTTGAAGCTTTCGGATAGTTGGTCATCTGGAAGTTTCCAGGAGTTGGCGATGGCCAGAGATTGAAGCTGCTTGTCCCTCCCCGGTCTTTTGCCTGTGCGTCTCTTCACCTGTGTCCTTTGAGATATCTTTTCTAAAGAACCAGTCAATTAAAGTAGAACACAGAGAAAAAGAAAGTATTTTCCGTGTAAATAAATAATTCCTCATGGCATCACCAGAATCGACGCTGCTTCCCTTGCGTTTCATGTGTTCATGCTTGCTTTCTCAGATAGTCTCTCTAGGTATCTGCTAATGTGGGGGCATAAGGTAATGTTAGGCATGCTTCACATTACTCCTTCAGAGCATGTTAATAGATTTATTTTTAAATTCTACCAATACAATTTCTTTTATGTCAAATAAACCTGGATAATCTTTCTTAGAGATTAACCCATGAGGGGAAAGTACTCCAGTAGAATCAGGCTGGTGGGACAGGTGGATAGCAGAGATCATAGGATGCTGATGGCTCTTGTGACCTTAGACAAGTTACCCCACTCTTCTGTGTGCCCAACTCCAGCAATGAAATGATAAAGGCAGACCGACGCTTGGGGAGGCAATGGTGCAGAGCTGGGGAACCCAGGACCTTAGTAGCTGGCCAGCTTTCTTCTGACCTTCACCCATGATTCTTTTCAAAACAAGCTTTGGTTCAAAACTCAAGCTTTGGGTGAGAGTAAACAGAAAAATGCAAAGCAAACAACTGATTGCAAGACACTGAGTGACTTAGAGCTGTCATGGGAGACTCCAACACTGGCGCCCTGCCTCTGCAGCCAGTGCTCTTTCCCCTTTCCTGGGGGAGCCTTCTGCATCTTGCCCCACTATCCGTTTTCAGATGGACTTGACATTTGATTACCTCTCTTGGCAGACCCAACACTCTTCACTAAGCCACAGGCTGCGTGCTTGCTGATCTCAGGGGGGAAATCTGTGATGTGGGCTCTGAGGTCTAAGAATTGCAGACTTCCATTCTAGTCTTCTGATGAAGCTGCTAATCTGGGTGCCAATGGTGTTTCTCTACAGGGACACCTGCCCACACAGCATGATTAGAAATTATAATGATGACGACGATGAGTCTTCCAGACACCCACGCTTTTTGCAAGATATTTTCACTAATCGTCTTTACCACAATCAGTTGGAGGAATTTTTTTTCTTTCTCCTTCCTCTTTAATCTCTTTTATGTTTTCTCTCCCTTTCTAAGTCCATCAAAAGTGCCAGTGTAATTCTGGTGTAGATTAAAGATTGGTGATCACCATGATTAGCCAGTGTTTTTTTTTTTCATGTAGATGATTGGACATCTCTGAACATGTGGAATGACCAGAGCACACTGTACCACACAAGAAAATATTTGGCTCCAGGTTCCAGTAGTACAGGTTCCTTCCAGTGTCTGCAACTGTACCCCCTCTTCTCTTAAATGGGCATCCAGTTCTGTTGTACTCAATGTATTAATGTTGTAAGAATCAAATGATCTCTTAAATGAGGAATGCTTCATTAAGTCTACATTGCTAATGAAGAGGATTATTATTAAGGCTATTTTTGCATTATTGCCAGCTTAGCCAATTAAGGTTATATTTAGTGAAGTACCACCAAAGAATGTAGGTGTGAGAACTGGGAGACTGATTGCTATATGAAACCAATACTGAGGAGGCTCAAGGTAGGAAAAGAAACAGACATGCATGCACAGTGCTGTTTTAAAGGGCTCTTCCTTGAACTGCCATCTTGAATGGGAAAAATAGAGCCACAAGGATCTGGTACTGAGGGAGAAAAGAGGATCTCAGGAGTGAAGAGTCTCAATGAAGAAGAGGCAGGAGAAGAGCAGGTGGCTGGGGATTGGGTATGTGTTAGTGAAATGAAGATCTGGAAGCAACAAGAGCAATTAGGCAATTAGAAAACTGCCAGCACTGTCTTTGGACCTGTGTATCTGGAGTGTGGGAGGACAGGCAGACGCACACAGGGTGGCTGTGGGGAAAACAGCATCCTTAGAAAAAAGCGTTCTCCAAGAACACTCTCCGAGGAAGGCAGGAGTGGGTTCCAGACTCTGCTGGGAGAGCCTTTTCGTCCTTTGTTATTTGCACCTGCTATTTGAGCAGTCGTTTGTTTCCTATTCCTAAACATATTTGGGGGCTACCTTTTCATTCAACGTCTGAGCACTGTAGAGAATTCTCTAGAGGTCTTCTAAAGGGAAAGAGCTTTAAGGAAACATTCCGTTTTTCTCTGCTCCTCTAGAACATTCTTGGCTCCATGATATTTCTGTGACACTCATTCCCTCTGTCTAAGAGAAAACATGTTTGTTATGGTAGGATTAAAAAAAAGCCATTTGATGCATAGGTAGATTTTGTGGTTATAGTCCATGTGGGTCACTGACCAGGCATACACAAACTTAAAACTATAATTTATCTCATCTATCCATCAAGTGGGCAAGGCATGTTTACTGGAGCTAAGAAATTGACATAGGGGTAACAAGACTATTGAAACTACACATTTTATTCACAATTTTTACTAGTGCATTTTGTGTACCAGGGTCCAATCATGGATATTCTTTTTAATGTAGTCATCATGTCTTTAAGTGTTTTCCAGCTTGTCCCATGTTTTATGACCTTGACACCTGAGAAGTGCCAGATTTCCAGCCTGGCTCATCATAGAATCTCTACTGATTATTGTTTACTTAATTGATATCCCACTATTAGTCTGAAGCTTTGTATTTCTGAGTAGAATATGACATGGGGAAAATGTTTTCATTGATTCCATGTCAGTGAGTATATGGTCTCAATGTGACTTTCGACTGGTGATACTGCCTTAGTGTTAGCCAGTTTTGTTTTGTTTTATTTTATGTTACAGTGGAAAACTGATTATCTTGCACTCTTAACACTTTGACAACTTTACCCATTACTGGCTAATGTTTATACTGATTGATAACAGAGAACCTAGATTCCAAAAGCTTGTGGTTTCCCAACCTCAACTAGAACATATAGCTTATAATTAAAAACCATGTTGGAGCTTGGTGTTCTTAGCCTTCAAGCCTGAATCCTGAGCCCACTTGATGGATAGATGAGATAAATTGTAGTTTTAAGTTTGTATATACCTGGTCAGTGACCCACATGGACTGGGGTTTGTTACAAAATGAGTCTCCTGTGGGAAGGGTATACTAGGGAAAGGTAGGAAGGAGTGAAAGATGTCTATCTTTCACACTGACCTCTGAAAATGTCCATTCGTTGGTAATTATGGCTTAATGGATGCTCACCACTCATCCATGAGTCAGGAAGAATTGGAGAGAGTGCTATTTTATTCTACAAGTGTAGAAATTACTTTGCTGATGAGCCCCAGATCAAAGTTATAGATAAAATATGGTTTTTCAATACTTTAAGTGTCTTTATTCAGCAGGCCTTAGTACTTTTGGTTGAACTACTTTGTGTTATCTTCCAAGGTTGGACAGAGGGTTGGCAAGAAGCTATACTGGTAATTAGAATTGGAACAGGAACATGGTTTCAAGCCACAGAAGGCCTGAGGGTAAAACCCCAAGTCTCAAATGTGATGCTGTCTGTACTTCTATGGGTGGACTGCCTCTTTGTCAGTATCCCTTGGCCATGTTTGCTTTCCTCATCTTCACATATGGATGGAACCATTTTTGATCACAATGTCTTAGAGGGTTTTGGTCCTAAGGTGCACAATCAAGGGAAACTATATCTGAATCTTGAGAACTGTTATTAAACCTATCTCTGTATCTTCATCAGATCCTGTGTACTGCTTGTAGACTGGGAGGGTGAAGTAAGTGGTAGAGAGTTGGTGATGTGCTGTCCAGAATGGCAGCCACCATTACCAGGTGTTGTTTTTGGTGCCTAAAATGTGACTAGTGCTGTGTGTCCAAAGGACTATATTTTGTATACATTTGTAAAATAAAGTTTTAACATTTTTGAAAGCATAGCTACTAGAAAATTCAAAATTATTTATATGGCTTGTCTTACATGTCTGTTGAACAGTGCTGTGGCAGAGCCTGGGGAGAATGTGGGACACAGTAAAGTGGCCTGTGTTCTCATTCTGAGGTCTAATAAAAATTGGCATTATAAAAGAAAGCTTCAACAGTCATAATTTTCATTAAAAATATTCTGGTTCAGGAGAATTGGCTGCTTTTATATTATTGCTTGGACTGGAGAAGAATCTGACATTTGGTATTTTCATAATTGAGAACATAACTTGCTGCCTTAAAAAAAAAGAAAGAAAGAAAGAAAGAAAGAAAGAAAGAAAGCCACAGCATTTTGTGATTGGCCACAGGTATCAGTTTTTGGCTTTTTGAATGTAAGGACCACATCTTTTCTCATCTTTTCTCTGCCCAAATGTCCACACACATGTATGCTAGGTAGCTGCTTGTTGAGAAATGAAAATGCCTTTGCAAAGGAGAACATTTTATGAAGCTACCCTATATTTACCGGGAAAGAGAAATGCATACCTTTAAAAGGCAACTCATTTTCTTAAGACAGTCACCCCAAATAAAGAACATGGAGGCAAGTGTTTATTTACTTCTTGATGTAATTACTATTCTCATCAGGTATCCCTGTCAGCTCCGATCCTGATAAAGAATCTTTCAAAATACTTAACCTCACACCCCCTCTGGGTGAGGGAGATAGAACAGAATGCTGCCTACACATGTTAATCCTCACCTCTGCTCAGATGTTCTGTGAATGCCTCCAGTCTAGCTTAGTCTCCGTTCTTCTGTGCTTTGATCCTTACCTATGCCTATCTGTCAGAGGATGTGTGGATAATAGTGGAAGAGCAGGTTTAATCTTAGACTAAATTGACTTTTTCTCTCCTTATTTTATTGTATTATACTTTATAATGAGCCAAATGCTCTCTGAACTAGAGGCCCCCAGTCTTGCATTCTGTACTTTCGTTTAACTCTTTCTCATGTGGTGTGCAGCCTAGTACTTGGTGATGGACCAGGTTTTGTGTGTTGTTATTTTGTCAGGGTAGATTCAAGAGCTTCGATTCTTCCAGCTAAGGGCACCCCAAAACCAGGCATAGTGTGGCCTTCTTGTTCAGGGTCCATCCTTCCAGAATCTATTATCCCTCCATTGCTTTCTAATTCTACTTAGGCATAGCCTACTTGATTCTCCTGTAGAACAGAAAGGAAAATACTGGTTACTCTCGTGAGTGACAATGCTGAAGACCCCGTTTGCTTCCAGGCTCTGCTATTTGCTAGTTGTGTCACTTGAGGCAAACAGCTCATTGCCAGTGAACATTCTTTTTTTTTTTTTTTTTTGTTCATGTGCCTAAAGTTGTCCAGTGTCTTCTGCCTTACAAAATACTGTTATTCCTTAATGTATGTAGGATACCTGTCTCCTGCTGATACTTGGGATTTATAAACACTGAATTAATAGATTTTTTCCACATATGTCTGATTTTGCTGGTCATAGACCAATAACCCTCTTCTGTCCTCACTTCGGAGGAGAGAGAAGGGCATTGGAGTGGTTGTGTGGTAAAGTCCACTTTAATTCTAGCTGTGAGAAAAAGAACAGTGAAAATGTGGTAAGCAATTGCTTCTAAAAAGCTTGGGCTAAAAGCACTTGATGGATTTGTGCTGGCTTCCCGGTAGACTGATCTCAGTGCTGCCCACATAGCACAATTAATAGTTATTACTTGAGAAGGAACAAATAAAAAGAGAAAGAGGGAGGGAGGGAGGGAGAGAGAGAGAGAGAGAGAGAGAGAGAGAGAGAGAGAGAGAGAGCCTAAAAGCATCCTTTCTTCTTCCTGCCTGAGATGTCTCCTTTGTCAGGCCTATGGAGCCATACCTTTGAATGATCTTGGGGAAGCACAGTGTGGAGGACTAGAGGGTAGATTTTGTGGCTCATTTCTTACCCACTTCCTGTGGTGGGGAGAAGCATCTAAGCTCATCTTTCTTAGCTGCTGATGTCTTGTCAATATCTCTTGCCATTCACCATGCATCTTCAACAGTGCAGGCCTCTTTCTCACATCCTTGCTGCAAGCACACCACTGTGTGGAGGTACAACTCCTTTTCTTTTGCAGACCATGTTTCATAAGTTTGAAGTTAAGTGTGGGGCTGTAGAAGTGTCCTGTGCTAGGAGAATGGAGACTTTAGCACCTTTGATGGGATTAGGGAATGGCCTGGGCACTACTCAAGCTATGTTCCAGGTCCGAAATAAATCCCAGCTTCTGCTGGACCAGCTGCTTCTCCTTCAAGTGCTTCATGCCACCGCTGAGTCCGCGTCAGAATTTGTCAGGTGGAGTCGTGAGTTACAGGAAAAGGGAAGTCTGATGTTGAAGATCAGTGTTCCAAGTGAGCATGCCACTGCTCCCTAAATTCAGTATTGTAGGCAGGGTGAAAGATGGGCTCCTGACGTTAGGGTTTGTTGCATGAAGG